TCTCTACCTAGTATCTAATATAATAACTTGTCTATTATATTACATAACCCTACCTTACCTCTATTAGGCTATACGCTTCCTATTAAGACAAAGCTAGTCTAGATTTGTCTAGGTCCTTCTAGACTAGGAAGAAAGTAGTCTAATCCTTCCCCTACTTTCTTTACATAGCAAAGAATCTTAACTTAGTGTCTTAGTAAGGAATATTAATTTTAAAACCTTCTATGCTTAATAACTATTCTATTAATAGGCCTATAATATTATTTAATAGCTTATCTTAAAAAGGAGACTAAGTAGTATATTAATATAATAAAAGTATAGTTTATTAAGCAGAGCTACTATTAAAGAAGGATTAGGAGTTGTTGTAGCTATTACAGCTGTTAAGACTGTTTATACTATTAGCTTAAAATTAGCTAGATATTAAATACACATTAAATAACTATTATAGGCCTACAAGACCTACTATTGCCCACAGTATAATGCCACAATTTCCTGATTTTAACAAAGGAAAAACTTTTCCTAATGTAGGTAGATCTAAATAGGTATTTAGCAGGCGTTAATATTAGATCTACCTAGCACTCTAATAGCAAAGCCCTTCTTATCTATATTATATATGTGCTTAGGCTTAAGACTATACTAAGTAATTTTCTACTATAGAAGCTTAAAGTATAACTTGTACTTGTGCTCTAATTCAGCGTTAACGTGGTCCACCACCGAGCGAATCACCCCACTGAGCGAATCACTAAATGCAACAATATATCTTTAAACGTGAATAACTCAACACAACAACAAGATATAATAGTGCGCAATAGCTTAAATTAATTGCCTATCTCTACTGTATCTTTCTTGCATGTACGCTTGTTGTGTCCTGTGTTGCCACACCTCCTGCAGCGCGGAATACCCCTGCTGCTAGCACCTGCCTGCACCCTCTCCTCACGCCTCTCTGCCTCAAGTCGAACCTCAGCATCCCCCTGGGTAACTATTACCTCTACCTCTGCCTGTGATAGGGTCCCCCCCTTCTGTATTCGCTTCTTCTTACGCTTTTTACGCTTAGAAGCAGCCTAATTTGCTTGCTTAAGACTATCTATCCTAGCTTTAAGCAACGTGTGTGAGTGTACCTTTAAAGTTGACCCCTTTTTAACCTGCAGCACTATCTCAAGAATAGACTTAGGTGAGGAACTCCTATAGTCCCTTATCCTCTTAAGAATTAGCGTTGTTTAAGCCTCTATTTCCTAGGCGTTGCTTGGTGTTTTAGGCTGCCAAGGGGTACTCCTGGGTAAAGGTGGTGTTAGTGTACAAGGCTTCACTTCAAGCCTTAATAGCACCACCTCTAGGTTATCTGGAACTAAGCTAGTTGCTCTAAAGCTTGATAGGATATTATCCTTTAAGAAGGCCTAGTTAAATACTAGGGTAAGTGTAGCTAGGAAGGCTTTCTTGTCAATGTGGTTGATATAGCAGTTTGCCAAGACTTAGATCTCCTCCTTGTACGCACGCTTCAGGGGGGCAAAGCAACCCACATCAAGCGGCTGAAGGATGTGTGAGGTGTAAGGGGGCATATAGAGGGTAATAATATTGTTCTCCTCACAAAGATCCTGGAAGGCGAGTGACTTGTGGCTCTTGTGGCCATTGAGAATTAGTAGTCTGTAACCACCTACTTTCTTAACCTCTGTGTGCTTGATAAAGTGCTGTAGCTAGGCAAGCCTAAGCTTATTTGTTGTCTATCTATTATCGCTAACCCCTATTCTCTAATCCTGAGGGTTATAATACTAGGCCTAGTTGTGGTTCTTGGCTTTAAAGATGATGAAGGGTGGGATAACCTACCCTGTGGCGTTGATAGCGGCAATCAACGTCACCCACTCCCTGTTACTAGGCTGAACCCTAAGTGGCTTAAGGCGCCTCTTAGAGGCTGTGACTACCTTCACAGACCCCCCAACGCCTATCTGGAAGCTAGTCTTATTAAAGTTGTACGTGTCTTAATCTAGGATACTATACTTGGCTTTAATGTTGCGTACAAGGTTGAACTAGGGGCTAATAATAGCTGGATTACTGCAGAGGACTCGCTGGTGATCATGGAGTTGAGTCACCTGAGATTTGACCTCAGGCCGGCGTTGGATCAGCCTATAGGCCCAGTTCTCCCCAACCTGGCCACTACTACGCTTAGCTAGTAGCTGGTCAGCCATTCCACGTACGTGGCTAAGCGTAGGGGCAAAGCCTCTAGCGTCAAGCTTCCTTATGTATTGTATAACTGCCTCCTCTTCAT